ACGAGATGCACTGCGGGATTGTCGAAAACCGATCATCATTAGCTTGGTTACCCCAATTACATCATAAAAATTTCGCACCTGACCATATTTGCAGATCTCAAAACATACTCAGGTCAATGAAATAATTAGTCTGTTGTTGTTAGATTCTCAATTAATTACATCATTTGCGAATCTGTCAGGCTATTACAGGTTACGGGGGGGGGCATAACCAGTCACTATGAATCGCTAGCTACCAAGTTCACGTGGAAGCTTCGTCACTGATGATGTGACCTCTCCACTCACCTATCGGGCGTGAGTGGTCACAAATGAACGAGCAGTGAAATATTCCATTGAATCTTTCAGGCGCGTTCCAGTTTATACCTCATCTAAATTAAAAACCATAGCCTAGGCCTTCACCATCGAATGGCAATAACTTAGCATGGTTAATTAGTTGAAAAAATGAAAGGAAATGCTAACCGTTCAAAAGATGTCATACCAAGACAAGGATTGTTGCAATGTACACCCAATAGAGGTTTCAATGAAACTGACCATGCGAAATATCCCAGGAGAGTAACGATAGACACTAAAGGGAAAGGTACATAAATAGAAGCAGTAAATAATACGTAATATGTAGTAAATACTTACCTCGTGTACGCAAAAACGAAGCTTCGGGTTACGGTTTATAAGAATTTCGAGCGAAGGCACATTATCTTCAAAGAGTCCGCATATTCGTTGAGAACAGATAGAAAGCAACAGGTACAGCACAGATAGTGAAACGAAACGAAAATCAAGCACATCGTCTGAACAGTTCCACATTGTTTAGCGATCCAGTGAACTGTCAAGGGAGTTCCTAAAAGCAAGAACGAATTCCTCAATAATGAAAAGAGGTCTAGTCCATAGGAGGGAGAAGGTTTTGCAACAAGTGATCCCCTCTTGCAAATACACATTTCCAAGATTTGCCACACTGTATTGGTCGATTGTATTGTATGGATTGTAATTGGGTTCCTAGGACAGAACGATTTCGCGTTCCCAGCGCGACACATTTCCGCTTGGAATCAAGATCCATGTCTGTTGGCCAGGTGTGTCGGCAGCGAATTCATCTGGTGGACACGAGATCCCTAAACGAACATGTATGTTTCGCGCGCGAACGCGAAAACTCGCTTTCTGTCTGGAGAACCCCATTGGGTCATTCACCCTGGAGATCCTCCCACTCCAAGGCTTGGTCCCAGAGCTCGCATCCTTCCTTGAGACGTGGAGCCGGGTCAGGCGCCGTCCCCCAATCGTCTGTGGTCTCCGTCATTTGTAGCAAAACCACAAAAGGGAGATGAAGTAGTCCGTAAACCCGATAAGTGTGACTACTTGTACTCTCCTCTACCTGCTCTCCGCTAAAGGCAGAGCAGAGACGTTTAGAGAGCGGCGCCCGGATTAGCTCAAACGCGAAGGAGGAAAGTGAGATTTCTAGGACGAAGCCTTGGAGGGGTAAGCGACTCCAGACTGGGTGATTTGAAAGCAAGAACAATTAATATTCTTAATGTATAAGAAAGTGGACGTTCTAACGAAACGTCATGCAAAAAAGACCGTAGTAAAGAGAATATCTCAACCAACACGTCAAAAACGTAATTTACTGTGTGATTGGAAGACCTCGACGTGTTGTAGACGGCATCTTGCAGCAACATTAAGATCAAAAAATTAATCGTGGTTACAATCGTGGAAGTGAACAGTAGTTGTTTCGAATTTGCACAGAAACCGTCACGATAGAAAACTTTGATTAGAAGACACACTCCAAAAACAACCCGAACGAGTAGTTCGTGTGCGATAGACTGTTGAGGAGGAAATGATTGCCAACAGCGTGAGCTATCTGAATGAATTGAGATCAAAAAAAAAAAAGAGATGGAAATGTAGTACGCTGAATTGAACTTTGTAAAAAGGTGACGTGGAACCGAAATCGCAGATGTCATCCGCTTGGACGTCACTGTGGTCTCGTTCCAAATGCTCTACCTTAATTAGGATTTCCAATAAAAGGGAAGCAGAGGAATGAATCTACAATAAATACCCAAAACAGATAACATACACTAACGAGGTCAAGATCGTTGAACATACAGCCAAACACGCATGCAACGTCACTGGTTTTCTGCGGCAGATCACATATGGGCAGATGAGGTCGGGGGCAGGCTCCAGCAGAGCTTCGAACGCAATACGATGAGCAGAGGCATGTGAGCGTCCTCTTTCAGAACCGCGAGCCAAGAATCTGCAGTAGACGTTAAAAAATATCTGGGAGCATTTCAATTTGGGACAGAAAAGTGTGTGAATTAGAAGGTGAGAAGGTTTCAGCACATAACACAACCAAGTGGAGAATATGACTGTCAGAAAATCTGTCCCGCTCCATCTATGTTGTCACACACATTATGTAAACAAACCGGGAATAAAAAGCTCAAACACAATATGACAAGAATTGAAGGATAATTAGGGGAATTAGGGGAACCTCTGAGCCAGAGGGAGTGTAGCCCCTAGGGGGTGGGGGGGGGTGAGGGCAGTCACTTGACATGCGTGAGAAGCTGGAATGTTCGAGTTTACATTAGCTTGCCGAGAAACTGCATTATGATGCCCCCTAACTGAATAGACCCGACATTGCGTATTACAACAACATTGTGCTCACAGTAAAACAAAACTACTAAGAAACTCCTTAGGCGTTCAAATTGGACGTGTCTCTAGACAGTCACTCCAACAGTCCCAAATGGCTTGGTTGAACCCGAACATTTCGAACTTCGAAATCATTTATTTCGCACCGCCCCGATCGATCATAGTTGGTTTACTAAGATAGAAAGCAACTCTTCCGCGTTTTTTGCGTAGCACTTTTCGCTCCGAAAACCCCGGGTCCACTGGATTTTCCGTGGCGGAACCTCGGGTCCACTGACGAACAAAAGTGGACCTGAGGTTCCTGCAGCGAAAAGTGTTTGCGTTGCGGAGCGCAAAGAATTCGCTTTCTGCTTATTGAACCACACCCACAAAAAGTATCAAGAGAGGCATACCTGTCTAGGCATAAAGGCTGCATAGTAGCAGCACGCTGGTAGAAAAACTCGGCGGCATGTGGTTAAACTTGAGGCTTTCTTGATGATTGCACTCTTCACTAATTCGAAAATACAGAACCTGTAACATTTTCGTAATACCAGAGTGATGAGAAATTTGTGCATAGAATCAAACGAAACGAAGATAGAAAGTGTCAAACAATAAGAAATAATAAGTGCATTTTATAAGTAATGATAGCGATCTTATAAGCGAACAAAGAATCAAAGACAAGAGAGAAGCTTTTAAACCGAAGGTTGTTATGACTCAATGCTGTGTGAGCCAGGCGGTATTAAGTAAGAATGCGAGCCGTGGGGCAGGGGCCAATTCAGTGAGGTGAGCTGTGTGTGAGCCACTTACCTGTGGCAATAGCTTGGGCCTTAGCGTCTGGTGTCTAGCCTTGTGAAGGAGACGAGGAGCAAAAGATGTCACAGATGTCACAACACCAAACCAGAAACCCTTCAACCAGCTGTTACAGATAAATCCCCTCCAACACACCTAACGAATTTGCTCGGCGTGATTGCACGAAATCGTCGTCGTTAGGCCCTGTTCAGCAGTGTTCGTCCGCGGAGGAAACGCTGCAGGCGAAAAGAAGTAGTGGTCCCAGTTTAGATCGCATCGTTGGAAATGAGGAAGTGTTAAACGCGAACGCCCGGAGTAGTAGCGAACGCGGCCAGCATTGGCGTAGGTATCGATTCACGAAACGGACGGACGAAAAGTCAGACGAGCGGCGGTACGCATTCGAATCGCGCAGGCGAACGGGAACGTGTCGACGCGGCTCGCGTTCCGGCGCAGTGCGGTTCATTTTGGCTCCATTCCGTGGCGGGCGGCCTGCTAGGACTTTTGTTCACTTATCTTGGAGATGAGTCTCTTCACTGGATAATGTACATCATATAATCGAATGTTTACTTTACAGGCTCATTTGTTGTCGTTGTTCGTTGTAGAGATTGCAGTGCCCTTTTGAGGTAAGTCTCTCACTGGATAATGTACATTCATATATCGGAATGTTTACTTGTGAGATGCTATGTTTACTTGTTTGAGTGAGAAGTGAAGCACAATATTATTTCTTTTAACGTTTTACCATCATGCTTACCATGAGCATGCTCCAAAACATTAGTTCAGTTGTCGTGTTGGTGGGTATATTTCGTTCCGGAATAAAACCTACAGTAGAGATCTGGAGCGTGCTATATTAAACTGAATGAACTTTATCTCGATCTTAACTTAGGAAAGCTGTTTCAAGGTTGCCTTTATAGTTGTGAAACGCACTGTAATATCTAAGACAAAAGTCAGGGAAGAGGACTAGGGGTGGATAATTAACGCATGGTGTGAGAAAAATGAAGTGCGTGAGATGTTGATAGATGTTACTTCATGAAGTCATTGTTCGATAGCGTACAAGCGAGCGACCAAAACCTGAAAGTAAAAAAAAATTCAATAAGCAGTTACATTATTACGTGTGAAAATAATTCGTTCAGAGCGAAATGGTATCGAAAGACCTTTTCCGAATACAACTAATTGGGTTGGTGGAAAATGAACCCAGCATATGGAATGTCACTCACGATGACTACAAACTACAAGACCGCCGTAAGAACGCATGGGACCGAGTTGTTCTGGGACTACGATTGAAGGGGCATGATTGCAACTGTGGGTGGCAGTTCTGATAGGTTCTCGTCTTCGGAGTGGAGATTGCGAAATAACCACTGTACACTGTTGCAGTGACTGAGGTCAGACATGTATGGAAGAATCTCAGAGATTTGTGGAAGAAAAAACAAAAAGCAACTACGGGATCCCCTGCTACAAAGGACTGGATGTTCAGCGATGCTATGAAGTTTCTCGAAAATAGTGAATTTCATGGGTTAGTAGAAGCCGTAGAGATCTCAGTCCACATATAATGGTGCAGTTACAGCCGCACCGTCTCCAACTTGGATCGTCACGGGAAATGTTTGAGTTATCCTTCATGGATGGGAAATGAAGGTGACGATTGTGAAAGCGTCGCGGGAACTACGAAAACAAAGAAACCTCGTGTTTTGGATGGTGGGTAATCCGTTATAAAGTGCCTATGAAGATGTTTAATGAGTAGGCGCTTCTGTAGATACCCGTGAAAGGATTCGGGAGGCAACCGAGACCGTCAAGGCATGCGCTGAAGGGTTGGGGAAAGATTTGGAAAAAAAAGAAGACCAATATATGCATTTTGGTATGTGTGATTCTTGCGTTCCATACAAGTCAAAAAACGTCGCATGAATTCGTAATGTTGAGGTCACTTCGTCGGACTGCATCTTCAAGGGATGGAGCCATCTCTCGCGGAATATAAAATGCAAATGCTGTCACTGGTGTTATTGAGCGACGTATCCATTGTACTGAACGTTAGCGGTGGGCAACAAGTCGTCTCTTGTTTTGGGGGAAAGGCTCCAGAAGGTGAATAAATCATAACTTGTGACTTTCATCCTAGTCTGTGTTAACTTATTAATAATGTTGTGTGTGCTATCTGAGTTAGGGGCTAATACTAGGGCGATTGAGATTCGTAAGGAAACATGTGGGCTGTGATTGTCGTCCCGTCAACCTACCATCAACGCAAGGGGCCATAAATAGCATCGTAATAGGCCCTTATTTTTTCCCTCGCAATAGCTCCAGCTTGCGCTCCTTCCTCGTCGACGGCTTCTGCAAGGGGAACAAGTTGTTCATTTCGTGCTGGATACCGTACCACATCTTCCAATGCATTCTGCCTTCGTGGCAGCAGATTGTGCAGCACATGAAAAAACTCGGATTGTCACGGAAACATCTATTAACTGGGGGCTCCATATAGCGGGTAAACTTACTAAAAGTGCAGTAACAACTTTGATAGCGCCGTCCGGTGGCAGCACCATCGTGTTCAGCAGCCGAGGGAATCGTTGGCACAGGATGCCGAATGTCGATTCCACCATGCGTCGAGCACTACATGCAAGATATAGGTTTTCAGAAACTCATAGAAATGATCCCACTCTTACCCGCTATGCTTGGCATTAAACCTGCGTTTGCTCACGGTATCTGCGGATGCCTGTGAGTAGGGGCGGACATAGCGATACCCCTGACCGAATCCGCAGTCCACCAGGATGTGGTACTGCACAGCTCCTACTTCTCCCAACTCCCGTGTAGGGGGAAATATGTCGTCCCTAGCATCGAAGAAGTGCTGAAGTAGAGCGTTCTTTATGAAGTGTGCGCATGACTTCCCCAACTCACCTTCATAGAAGAGTTCATATAAACTCCGGCGTCTCCTACTCGACCTGGTGCCCCTAGGTCAAACGCCATGATGCGGTAATCACAGTCCACCAGGGCGAGTAGGATAATCGAGAACGTCTTCTTATAATTGAAATATAGGCTTCCAGAGTGGGGCGGTTTCTATAAACGCCAGCATTGCGTCCTTCTAATGGTTACCTGTAGCAGTTTGAGCCATTATACCTGAATCTTTATATGCTTCCCGTCTAAAAAACCGACGGCACGTGGATAGTCGTAGCGTTGTTGTGTCTTCACAGCTACTTCTTCGAGATGAGTCAGGGTTATTCGAGGGAAGGCTTCTTTGAACAGCACTGCAGAGTAATGTATACGATTCGTTCCCATATACATAATGCTACTGCTAGTTGAGTGAACTAGGTCCTCACCATCGCTTATAGCGTCCGCAACCTCATATACAATTGAACTTATCGTCGACTTTCCACAGTGCGTTTCTTCGCCTAGAGCACCGAAATTATGGCCATGCCCAACGTATCTTAAACCTGTAGATTAAAGGAGGCACGTTTTTGTCTGCTAATTAAGTAACACCTCAAGAAGATGAAGAGACGCTCACGTCCTGTTATGGGGGAAACGTGGTTTTTCGGATGTGTCAGCTTAGGCGCTAAACGCTCATATAGCTCCTGGAACTCGGACGGGCTTACCCTTACGTAATGTGAGAAATTATGGGGGTTAGACACCACGAGATATTCATCAAATGTACGAAATCGCGTCCCCAGGAACGGCACGTGCTCCCTTCGCACGTACTCCCTCCTTTGATGGCGTTGGAGGTAGTCCTCGTAAGCGTGCTCCAAGTCTTCCAGCGCCTCCAGTAGTGCACCAACACGCTGTGCTGACATTTTACGACTGAAATATGCAATGGTTTTTGAATCATTCTTTCATCATTACAGCTCCATATACCGACGTCAACGAGAATGCAGACGTCAACGAGGATCGAAGATACGCTTAGTCTTCAATACTACAGGACGCCCTGTTCATAGTTGCTGCGAGGAAACGGCACATGCGAAATGAAGTGATGTATGCATCGATTGAGCTAGGACACACAGGGGAATTGTGAAGTGAGAGCAAGAAAGTCATTCACATACATATCAATGCCATTGTCTCTCTCTACGATTTGCTCTCACGTTTGTTGGCTGGCGTTTTCTTTTAAATCGCTAAATATCAACCGCTAACATTCGCCTACTCCGGACGTTTCGCTTGTGTGATAACCTATTTCTCAATCGATGCATATCTAAATTTCGGCGATGAGCTCGTTTCATTTCGATTGTGCGTTTTTTTGCGTGCTTCAGCGGGTCTTGTTGTGGGAATTCTTCCATTGCAAAATAGGTGGCTGTTTTCATTGAACGTGATAACATTGTTGAGTTGTTATGAATTCATTTGATATTTTTCCTTTTGCTTCCGTTGGAATAACGCCAAAGTGGGCGCTCTGTTCACGTCCACATTGCATTTCATTCTGTTCATTCACTGATTCACTGATTTGAATCTTTAGGTGTCAATAAATATTGTGTCGAATCACTGCGCACGTTATCCGTTGGATGAAAGTCCGTTGGGTAAAAGTTTATGTCATACACCCCTTCAGTTCGTGTACCCATGAATCGCTTCCTGCTACTCGTATTGCTGGTAATGCCCTCAACTCCACATTTTATAGACCACTTCTTAGTGAGAAATTGCGCACTGCCAGTTGTGCTCGTCGTTTGTTTTTTTTTGCCTGAGTTTTTGCCGAACGATCCCATAAACAAAGTAAGGAGGGTTTCTTCTCTCACAGTGGCTATCTCACTGTGGCGCCTTACACATCCCGCCATTATACAGTTTGCTTCTTCCACGTGTAAAGTGGGGGCACATACCAACAAAATAACCAATTACAAACGCTTTCTGGGTTCACACGAGCAGCCCTGGAAAAATGCAAAACTTCACTTTCGCCAAGGATTCGAACATGTGACCTCACCCATATGAAGCAAGAGCGCTATCCACCACACCTACCAGCTCGTCGCGAGGGGTGCTCTCGGCTCTTCCTATGAGAGCCGAGTGGGATAGGGGGATGTAGAGGGCGCCACAGTGAGAGAAGAATCCCTCGTAACTTCGTTCAGAGAATCGTTCGGCAAAAACCGAAAACGGATTTGAGCTCAGCGTCGCAAGACGCGTGCATCGGACTACACCTCATTACAAATGGCCGGGTCGACCAAATGACCATTCCTGGTTAGATTACAGGGTATCTAAATAACGAGTGCTGCGTCAGATTGATGGTTTATTTTTGAGATACAATTCAGTGGGTTACAATTCAGTGGTTTGCAGAGCAAAACAACGAACAACCGATTGAAGAAACATTAACTTTCGCGAGCAATGGATTACATTCTACAAAACAGGAAGCCAAATTTCGGTGTACATTCGGTCTCTCCACGATTCGCACGTGCGAAATTCCATCCTTTCGATATTCGATATGCGTGATCGATACCTATCTACATCTCAGCGAAAAATCGTCTATCCCAAACGTTTCGCTTTGACGATTCTCCAGCGTTTTCTTCGCGTGTCGATACGTATTTAATGCTCGACGAATGTTGTCCGATTTGGCGGCGCTACGCCTGTGCGATTCGCCCACTTCAAGTGATCACTACAGCGCCGACACGGTGGGCCCAACGAAATCGATACGTATGTCACTCATTTTCGTCGATCCTCCCACTTGACGTTTCGCCTGAGCGTTTCCGCTTGATCGATACATTATGCCATTTCATTTCGCCTCTGCGTTTTTTCGCGTCGGCGGACATCTCTGAACAGGGCCTTATTTTCATGGCAACGGTAATGCACGCCCTATGGCTTGTGACTTATCTCCTTACTCTCATCCCTCTGCCGAATTAGCCGCTGCTCAGCAGCAGATCGC